TAGAAATATATTCCAAAAAGGTCAGTACAGACTCTAATTTATCCCAGTATCCTTCTTTGTCTAATATAATAAGCTTTCTTTGTTTGTAAATAAACTAGAAATTGCAATTTCTTGCAAAACTTCCTTATTTTTCACAACACTTTGCAACATTATAACAAAACCTCCCCATCTTGTCGGACTTTGAATTTTTAAGGAAGATTTATATCCTTTCAATATTTGCCTTTCTTTAAAAGTTGCTAATAAAATACCATGAAATTTTATATATTTAATTATTTGCTTGGTTTTTTTGATGATCTTTTCAATAAAAGGTATTTTGCATAAATCTTTAATAAGCAGATTCAACCCATGTGCGGCACATCCAAAGCATTCAATATAATTATATTTTGCCTTAACAAGACTCCAGGCCTTTTTCATATTCTTTGCATTATCAGTTACTAGTGAGATAAATTTTTGACAACCAATTTCTTCTATTACCTTGATCAACTAAGATGCGATATATTCACCAGTGTGAGCACTGGAACCTGTGTCAATATATTTTAAAAAAATTGGTTCTGGAGTCATTATTATAAAATTAATAATGGACTCTCCGCGAATATTTGTCCAGCCATCGCTTATGAGAGTAAAATTTATTAAATTATTGAATTATAATATTTTTCACTTTAATGTATTCAAAATCTAGTAATGTTTTACTAATTGCATGTCTAGAAGGAATTTTATAGGCTGGACGCATTAATTTTAAAAAATTGATGAAATATTTATTTTCAACTAAATTAAAAGGGCAATTTGACATAAAAATAGCCAATGCCAAAGCACTGTCAAGTTGCGTTTGATTTTGTTCGGTTATAGTGTCGAAAAAATTTTTAATTTTAGATGTGCCAGCATTAAAATTAAAATAAGTTTAAAGACTCACGTGGAAAATAAAAATTATTTATAAATTAAATTATAAATCATAATTATTGAAATAAAATATTATATTTTATAAAATATAAATCATAATTTTTGCAAATAAATAATATATTTATATTAAGGGAAAATTCGGGAAATTTCCCGGGAAAATATGAATGTTCCCGTGAAATTTCCCTACCTTTACATCTCTAATCTTGACCTTAAATTGTGGATTGTAATCGAGATCATTTTTTTAAATATTCGATCCCGATCCTTTTAAAAATTATTTTTTTACTTAAAAAGCAATAAATAAATAAAAAAAAATATCTATCTACTTCATATTTTATCAACCACCATTCCACCAGATTTTATATTCAACAATTTCCCAAATTTTTTGTAAGAACAAGTTATATTTATTTATTAATTATATTATAATATAAATTCTAGGTTTTAATAATGTCCTCTATTATAGATTTATAAGATGATACATCTACTTCTATTAATGTGACAGGAGATATAAATGGGAATGAGAATCTTTTACCATTTCATAATACGTAAGTATTTTACTTTATGTGAAACGGATGGAAGTAATCATACAATGATCTATGCAAAATGCTCTTTATGTAAAAACAAAATATCTTCTTCAAAGATTAGCAGTTCAAACCTAAAGAGGCATTTAGAAGTAATTAATTTTTTTAAAAATACAATTTTTGTTATTTGTGAAGATCATAACAATATGCATATAATAAAAATTATAAATTTCCTTCACTATATGATGACAGTAATATATTGGCATTAGAGATGTAAAGGTAGGGAAATTTCCCAGGAACATTCATATTTTCCCGGGAAATTTCCCGAATTTTCCCTTAATATAAATATATTATTTATTTGCAAAAATTATGATTTATATTTTATAAAATATAATATTTTATTTCAATAATTATGATTTATAATTTAATTAATAATTTTTATTTTCCTCGTTAGTCTTTAAACTTATTTTAATTTTAATGCTGGCACATCTAAAATTAAAAATTTTTTCGACACTATAACCGAACAAAATCAAACGCAACTTGACAGTGCTTTGGCATTGGCTATTTTTATGTCAAATTGCCCTTTTAATTTAGTTGAAAATAAATATTTCATCAATTTTTTAAAATTAATGCGTCCAGCCTATAAAATTCCTTCTAGACATGCAATTAGTAAAACATTACTAGATTTTGAATACATTAAAGTGAAAAATATTATAATTCAATAATTTAATAGATTTTACTCTCATAAGCGATGGCTGGACAAATATTCGCGGAGAGTCCATTATTAATTTTATAATAATGACTCCAGAACCAATTTTTTTAAAATATATTGACACAGGTTCCAGTGCTCACACTGGTGAATATATCGCATCTTAGTTGATCAAGGTAATAGAAGAAATTGGTTGTCAAAAATTTATCTCACTAGTAACTGATAATGCAAAGAATATGAAAAAGGCCTGGAGTCTTGTTAAGGCAAAATATAATTATATTGAATGCTTTGGATGTGCCGCACATGGGTTGAATCTGCTTATTAAAGATTTATGCAAAATACCTTTTATTGAAAAGATCATCAAAAAAACCAAGCAAATAATTAAATATATAAAATTTCATGGTATTTTATTAGCAACTTTTAAAGAAAGGCAAATATTGAAAGGATATAAATCTTCCTTAAAAATTCAAAGTCCGACAAGATGGGGAGGTTTTGTTATAATGTTGCAAAGTGTTGTGAAAAATAAGGAAGTTTTGCAAGAAATTGCAATTTCTAGTTTATTTACAAACAAACAAAGAAGGCTTATTATATTAGATAAAGAAGGATACTGGGATAAATTAGAGTCTGTACTGACCTTTTTGGAATATATTTATAAGAAAATTATATTTGTAGAATTGGATTCAGCGGTATTATCTGACGTTCCAGAAATATTTTGGGACATAAAAGATAAACTCAATTCATCAACTTTTATTTTTAATGAAAATGATTTGGAAAGTGTTAAGATGCATATTAAAAAAACGAAAGAAATTTTGTTGCCGAGAATATCATTATGCAACAAATCTTCTGGATCCTCGATATTATGGTGTGAAATTAACAGACCGTGAATTAACAGCAGCTTTAAATATAATAAATTATTTCAGGCCAAATTAATTGCGATATTGGAAAAATTATGGGTAATTTAGCAGAATATCGTTCAAAACAAGGTTTCTATAAAGGAGCTGGCATATGGGAGAGCTCAATCCATACCAAACCACTCATATGGTGGAAAGGGTTGTGTACAAATCAACCCCTTTGTCAAGTGGCAGTAAGATGTCTTTCGATACCACCCTCAAGTGCCTCGTCAGAAAGAGTCTGGTCAGCATTTGTAAAAATTCATTCAAAAACGAGAAATAGAATAAAGAATGAAAGAGTCGAAAAATTAATATCAATAAGGCATAACATACATTTAAAGGATCATACAAATACATCAAGTTCGGGATATCATCAAAAGAGTTCAGATTCCGATTTATCAATATCAAGTGATAATGATGATATTTCAATTTCACCCCATGAAGATATTGATGCTATTTCATTAGCATCCCAAGAATTTTAAATGTAATTTCTGATACATGCTTTTTGTAATTAATAAAGTTATTCAAAAAATTATGTTTATAGTGTATTTATTTTTGTCTTTATAGTTTAATTATATTATTTTCCCTTAGTTCCCCAAATTTAATAAAGTTATTCCATAAAAAAAATTGAAAGGTTTAAAGTATATTTTGTGGTTATTTTTTAATTTTCCGTTATTTCCCGTTTTCCCCCCAATTTTCCCTTTTTTCCCCAATTTTTCCGGGGAAATTTCCCCTGAACCAATTTTCCCGGGAATTTTACATCTATAGTCAAGATCTTAAATCCGTTAAAATTGACAAATTTAGGATAGAATCTAGGATCGGCGATCTTTTGATTCGATCCTCTAACATGTTAAATTTATTTACTCATAAAATAACTAAGTCAATGATTGATAATTTGGGAGAAAAAAAACGAAAATGAAATTTTTATTATACATGCAGAAAGTTTAAAATTAAATTTTAATAATGATTAGGAATGTTTCCTTCAATAACATTAACACTAATAAAATGTCAGAAAAATAAAGATAGCTATATTACTTTAATATTTTTATGCAGCAAAAGGTTTTTTTTAAAATTTATCAGTTCTCATGATATTACCATAATTCAATTAATGTGTTTCTAAATGTTTTGATACAGTGAAAAAGGCCTTTAACCACAAATTTTTAACCCTCCATATCTTGGGTAATATAAAAGCTAGCAAATTTGAATTTTTTTTAAAAAATTATAAAATTTATATTCTTACTATACATTTTTATCGGAAATAGAGGGGAATGACCCATTCCTAAATTGGTAGTATAGTTTGTTTTAATGTTTATAATCATTTTTTTCGTATAAATTATTCATTTAATGAAAAATATACCAATGGTATCAGTCGGCATTAGTATCTCCTCGAGATCGGTATAGATTCCCGCCCGAAAAATTAGAGACAAACATTTAACTTAAGGATTATCCAAGGAAAGCGGAATATAATAAACGCTTGAGGAAAATAAAAAAATTTGGTATTTTTCTTGAAAAAGTCTAGTAAACTTAATTGAATTCTTGACAGTTTCATGCAAGGCTCTTGTATTAAAGAATGGGTGATTTAATTATTCCGCTATTTGCCACATTTATCATTGTTGCATATAATATTTTATCAATTAATTAATATTCTATACACGAAGACTGGAATAGAAGTAGTCAGTGATAAGAAATATATTTTTGATTTTTATTATACAGGTGATTGTAACTAATTGTGGGATTTTTTTTTTATAAATCGGGAATCATCGCCATATATGTTTTTATATTTTGGTACTTAATTTATGTTTTAACTTTAATTTATACTCTTTGATAGCATTAAGTATTAAAAAAAACAACATTTGGATATTTTTAAAATTTATAGCAATTGATAAGATTCCATTCCAGGCTTTTATACTAGTTATAGGAAAAAAGTTACCCTTAATTGCTTTCACGCTTATTTATTTATATTTTTTGATTCAATAAATATTATAGAGCATCAATGATATGGATTATTGGTGAGTACGCCGAAAGAATTGATAATGCTGACGAATTATTAGATAGCTTTTTGGATGGCTTTAATGACGAGAATACACAGGTGATTTTAAATTTTAATCTTAATTGTAAATAAATCCTTTTTTAGAAAGATAAGAATAATAACGTTTCTCTTTCATTTAGGTTCAATTACAATTGTTGACCGCGATTGTTAAATTGTTTTTAAAAAAACCATCTGAAACTCAAGATCTGGTTCAGTCAGTGCTTACGCTTGCCACTCAAGTACAAAATTATATCTTATTAATATACTTTAAAGTTCAAGTCATTTCCTTTAGATAACCTGGATTTGATTAAAAATTTTCTCAAACCATTCTATTCATAAATAATTTCCAATATTTTACTCCCAATTAAATAGATATGCAATTAGAGGTTGGAACCTGGTTAAAAAGTGTTCTGGTTTCTAAAATTGTGGAAAGTGGTTTTCATTTCTTAATTTTCACGTGGTTCCGAGGATTCTGATTTCGAACTCTTTTAAAACAATTTTAAAAAATAAATAGACATTTTGAAACGATTATAAATACTTGCACTTTCGTAGGAACTTGTTTCTATAAATTTTAAAATGGATTTTTGTTCCTATAAATTTTAAGAGAGGGGTGCAGGGTTTCGAATTGAACCGAACTAAACCGGAATGAACCGTTATGATTTTCTGAACCTTAACCGAACCGTTATAAAGAAAATATAAAAAGAGCGAACCGAACCGTTATAAATATTTTAAACCGGTTCAAAACAGTTTTAAAAAATAATTAATTTTAAATTATTAACCTAAATTTTAATTTTCCTTGGGGGCATTTTTAAATTGGCGATTTCTTTTCAAATTAATATTTTTATATTAGTAACATTATATATCAATTAATACCAAGTTTATTGTTTTTTCTTTAAATACTTATTTTATTAGAGATTAGGTAAATTATCTGTTAATTAGATAAGATATCTTAAAATCACACATAATTATTCTTGGTTAACAAGTTTGTATATATAAGTTATTAATAAGCTTTTATAATAATATTTGCTAATAATTTAGGAAAAAATTAAATAAGAAATCAAGTACTTTTTACATTCATTTTTATATTATATGAATTCTAATATTCATTTAAGTCATTATAAATTATTTATTATTAAAATAATATTTTTAACATTTGAAGAAAGAGAGATCGCTAGAAAATATCTTTGTAAAACTTGGAACTTGATACAAAGTCTAAATAATAGAATCTTGAAATTCTAAATACTATGCTTACGTGTTCGCATTCGAAAGATAATTTAGATGATGATTTTGAAGATTTATTAAAGTCGCATGAAAGTTTTATTAAGAATAATTCTCAGGGCATAGAAAATTATAATAAATGTATAGAAATAGAATATATAATTCGGTCATTTGATAATTATAGAGAGATTAGAAAAAGATAATCTTTTGAATTATTGGGAAAATGTAAAGAATAGTATGCCAGAACTTTATAAGTTAGCTATAACTGTGCTAGCAGTTCCAGCTACGCAGGTATCCGTAGAAAGAGCATTTTCTAGCCTTAAGTTTATACTCTCTGCGCAGAGAACTAAATTAAATCCTGAAATATTAGAAAATATTTTAGTTATCCGTTCTAATTCTCTTTTTAAACATAAATAGTATACATTTTATTATATTTATGAGTTATTTTATTCATCATTGTATTTACGCATGTTTGTTTTTATCTTATTTATTTATGAACAAAAAAAAATTAATTTGTCTAATTTTTATTTACTAAGTTTAATAAAAATATCTATTAGATTATCATGGTTAAATTAAATAAGAAATTATAAATTAAAAAGATTTTTCTCTAAAATTAATATATACATGGTTAATGATTAATTTTTTTTTAAATCAAATTTATAAAAACCGGAACAAACCGAAAAGAACCGTTATAAATTATAAACCGAACCGAACCGATATGAATTTTTTTTTGAAAAAACCAAAATGGAACAAAACTTTTATAAAATTTTAAACTAAAAACCGGAACAAACCTAACCGTTATGCTTAACGGTTCGAAACCCTGGGAGTGTGATTACTAGATTTGTCACATTTTTGGGGTTCTGGCTTCAATTATTACTTTTCCAAAAATAATTACGATTGCATTTAACAATGATAAACTTGTCGAATATTTCTAATATTCAAGAATGAGAAATTTGTTATGGCTACTTATTATAGTGTTCAGGTTTTAATAAAAATGAGTTGATTAGTATTTATACTCATCTTATTTTTATTAAATTTTAAATCTTATATTTATTTTGATATATTGATATTACATAGCATAGTGACAACCCAGATCTCCGTGATCGTGGGTACATATATTGGCGTTTATTGTCGACGGATCCTGCAGCAGCGAAGCGCGTGGTGTTGGCGGAACGACCTTTGATAAGCGAGGATACTGACCTGCTCGAACCCTCGCTCCTCGACGAGTTGGTGACAACTCAGATAGGTACCCTGGCATCGGTTTATCATAAACCGCCTTCAGCTTTTCTTGATCCGGCCGATGTGGCCCATGCTTTCAAGGCAGCCCCAGCTAAACCTCCCGCCAGCCAGTAATACTTATTTTTCTTTTTTTTATGTATTTATTGATTTAGCACTATATGTCTTACATTTGCAGGAATAAAAAAAATTTACAATTATATATTAGAATTGTAATTTATTTGGAAATCATTATCACCTACTATAACTATAAAGTAAGTCCTAAAAAATCAAAGAATTGGCAATATCAAATATGGCAGAAAAATCTCGAAGTGCATTCTAGTTTATGTGATCTTGTAATTTATAAACTAGATTTCCCTTTCTTCAAAGGTACAGGCATTATTTGAATATTATGTAAATACCAGGGATTCAAAACGAACCTGAACCGAACCATTAAACCGCTAAAAAGTGGTATTTTTTATCAAACCTAAACCGCTAAAAAAATTCTAGCCGAACCTGAACCGAACCGCTAAAATGATTCTGAACCGGTTCGAGTCTCATAATTTTATGCTTATAAAATAATGTGTAAGTTATTATTATATTGCAAAAATTTTAATTATATTCGAATTGTTTTAAAGATTATTATCAATCACATTTGATTGATAAGTTTCAGTATTTTTATAAACTTTAGTATATTTCCATTTTACAACATTTTTTAAATATTTTAAGCTTATAAATTATAATGCCTAGAGAAAAATTAAATCCAATATATAAATTATATACATCAAATCTGATATCATACTGGTAGTGCCGGCTACCCAAATTAGTGTGGAAAGATGTTTTTCAACAATTAAATTTATATTATCTCCTTAGATGATTTGAGTGAGATGAATTTTGAAAATATATTAATTGTGTGCGGCTTAATAAAAAAAATTTTAAGTAATTCTTCATATTAAAATAAATCATTGATATTTATTTGTTATATTTATAAATTAAATATTATTTTATAATGTGCAATTAATAAAAATGAAGGTTTTATGTATGTGTTTTTTATTTTAATTATGAAATAAAAAAAATTCTTTCCTATACATAATTCGAATGTAGATTTGAATACAAAAGTGTCAACCCGGTTTTTAGAGGTTCGAACCCAACCGATATTTTTATTTTTTGCGAACCGAACCTGAACCTAACCGATATTCGTTTCGGTTTGGATCCGGGTAGAACACATACTTTGGCGCTTATATAATTTAGATTAGATATTGGCTCTTTAAGATATTTATGGCCCGGGTCATGAAACTATTTGTCTGGCCCATAAATATCTTTTTGTCACGTTACCTAGCCTGGTTTATCAAAAATTTTGTAAAGGAAGAAAGTCTTTTAAATAAATATATATTGTGACAGTGGCTCAGTTAAAAAAGTTAAAATATAACTTTCTTTTACAAATAAAAGTTTTTTTATACCAGTCTGGTCAGTTAATATATTTTACAGCCTAAATTTTTTCTTGTTCATGCTCTTCTCTTGGGACAGGTTGTACAGATTTATAATTTGTAATTTAAATAGTAAATTTTAATCTAACACTATGAACCTGATCATCTATTTAAAAAGTGAAATAAAGTTATACATTAATTTATAATTGATATACAAAAAAAATCATCATAAACTTAAATTAAAAATTGTTCGCGTTTTTTATTTAGTATTTAGTCTTCATATGAAATAATTTTACGGGATTAATTGCAAAAAAAAATTATTTTATTTTCAATTTTTTTTTTGATAAGATCGAATCTTACCTCTAATATCAATCTGGTTGGAGACTTGCTTGGCAATGTTCCTGAGGAGAACAGTAGTCAGCAAAACAAATCGAATAAACGAGACGTTGTTATACCATCTGCCGATAGCCTTCTTGGCGATTTACTTACCTTGGATCTAAGTTACGATATGAACCCAAGTATGAACTTGCCACCTGCTTACAATCGAACTAATAACAGTAATCTTATCAATACCAATTACGGGATGGGAACCGATTCCTTCGGCAATTTTGATAATCAAAATAATGGTCAACAGATTAAATCGATTAAAAGGGACGTTGTCATACCATCTGCCAATAGTCTTCTCGGCGATTTGCTCACTTTGGATCTGAGTAACGATATAAACCCAGGTATCATGGACTCCTCCACTTACAATCGGACTAACAACAATAATCTTACCGATTTTGGGTTTTAATTAAATTTTGTAATGATACTAATTTACTCATTTATGTTATACTATAATTTATTCATTAAATATATTTATAAATTTATAACATTTAATATAAGATAGTACAAAAAGAGAAGCATATAAAACTTTATTCCATTTTAAATGAATAAATTTTATTTCATAAATAACTTAATTTTAGTCCGCCAAAATGGGCTAGCTTTTTCTTCCCCTTAATTCTTATAAATAATTTATTTTTATCTTTTAGAAACTAAAACATCTCGCCCTTCATTCTTGTAATTTTTAAATTGTTTGTTTAATATTTATAAATAATAATTATCACAAATTTTTATAAATAAATATAAATTCGCACATACACCATGTAATTATATCAGTTGTAGAATCAATGTGTATACTAGGCATATTCAAAAACCAATTCTAATCGAATAGTGCAAATCTAATAATTTACTATTCGTTTGTATAATTAAATCATACTCAGATATAACAAAATTTTTTATTGCAAATTTTATTTCAAACAGAAAAACTTATAATAATCGTATGATAAAAAATATGTAATCAAGTTATAAACAAAATTAAAATGTATAATATTAATTTAATTTATAATTCTAAGTCAATTTATAAGGCAAATAGTTTTTATTATATTTTCTTCCATATATAACATGTGTTTTTTTACAACAAATTATCCAACTGAGAAAAGCCTTTCATAAGCTTTTCGTGTTCTTTGTATAGATAGGCAATCCATAGCTTTCGAGAATATGGGTATCCCATATGCATTTGCCTTCCACCACATTTAAGGGTCAGTATCACTCTTTGCTCTTGGCTCACTCAGATAAAAATCTATTTCACAGTTGAATATTATTTTGTTTAAAAACAATGTCTAGTTTGATTTGTTGAATTTCATCCTTATATGTTTTACATTTATAATTATCATCTTATAAAATAAAATCTTATTTATTTAAATGGGGGTAAATTAAATACCTGTATAGCTGTTATAAATCTCCTTAAATTTATACGTTAACTTGGATATATCAATATCATAATCAGCAGATATTGATTTAAAATATTATACTTTAAGCCTGGGATCTAATATTATGGTTATTGTCACAACGACAGGTTTGTCATTGTGCATCAAAACCTAAATATAAAATAGAAAACAAATATATATATATATAAAAAGGAAATTAATAATAATTAGGAATTACGAAATCATAAAATCAACTTTAATCCTTTATTTAAAATTATAACATTAACAAATTAACTAAATTATAATAGTAAAAATCATAAAAAAATAAAATACAATAAAATAAAATATAATTAAAAAAATTAATAAAATAAAAAAAAAGATCATTTGTATCGTAAAAATTGGCCTTTTTATACTCTTTTCAATCTTCTTAATCTAACATTTACAACACCTCCCTACTTACATTAGACCCAACATTCTGCGAATAATCAATCTTCTTTCGATCTCGACTTATTCTTCTTAATTTTTGCTGTCTTCTAAGTTCTAACGAAGGCTTTGTCGCTTGAAATTTTTGAATTCTATCTGTCGCTTGTCACCCTGTGAAACGATCAGCTTTTTATCGCTGTAAGCCACTGACTAACTTGATACACGCCTGTTTTCCACTATCCACGATTTATAACGATTATCGATGACATCCAGTTTCTTTTCCTCTCTTGTTTTTTGCTAGTCTGTCTTAATCTTTTTTATCGTAGCTTGTTTCCTATCAAGACTAAAGTCTCGGTAATAATTGGCTATTATTGGTCAGCGATTAACGATTGCAGCATAACGTCTTGACCCTACTTTCTATTAATTCGCTTGTTTTCCCCTTTCTCTTGTAATTGATTGGTTGTTGCCTCTAATTCTTGTAATCGTATCTATCTTTCAGGCTTCCGGGTCTTCTACGACAGTTTGCCCTTGCTGAGATATCGGGTAATCACATCTAATCTACTTCTACCTAAAATAATCTATTTAAATAACTTCTGAAATATTTTATCACTTTCTTATATTTATTCTCAAATATAAACTACCTAATACAAATATACTAATAAAATATATAATTATACCAACCTTATCCTAATGTCTACATTTATCTCCTCTAAACTAATTCTGACTTTAATAAATGGCGTAAATTATACTAAATCTTAAATTTATAATACGTAGCAAAATATAATAAATTATATAAATATATCAAATCTATCACCCCTCTCCCCTTAATGAAGCCTAGACCCATATTTTCATTGAAAAATTTACTTGTACTTATCCTTTAGCTATTGATCCTCATCTTCTTTTCAGCCATGTCTATACTAAATTTATATCTAAAAATCCTATTCTAAAATATATATCAAAATCTATCTTTTTAAAAAATTATTTCGTCATGTACTCTTTGACACAAGTCTTTAAAAAAAACTGCTGAAATATATAAATCTCTTTTCATACATACGTTGTCGAGAAATAATGACATCTAATCATAAAAGTTTTCATACTAACGTTTATGAACAACCTATTAACTCTAATCACTATGGTTTTCACCCCACGTCTTTGAAGAACTTATGAACTCTAATCATTATAATTTTTCGCACAACCGTTGTTGAAAACTGATATGTATATTTCTAAAGCATGTTTTTCTTTCTGTTATTATTAGAATAATGTTGCATAATTGATCTCAAATCTTATTTATGATTCAAAAAAAATAAAAATCCGATCTCTAATTGAGCTCGATTGCGGCATAAATTTTCTAATGACGAAAGCCGTTTCTCTTTATGAAGATTTTTGGTTAATCTACAACCTAATATACTACATTCACATTAATCCTTGCGGCTGATAAAAGTTAAACATAAATCTTCAATAAGAATTTAATCAACTATTTCCTAACAATAAAGTTATATTCTAATCTTATTCACCGAATTTTTTAATTATTATATCTCAGCAAATTATTAGTTTAATATTAACTTTCGCAATTTATGTTAAAATCTAAAATATCATAGTCTTTATTAGTTTCAAAATTCCAATGGTTTTAGTTTACTAGTAACTAAATATAAAATTCCTCCTAATTATCACCTTTAAATAACTAAACACAAACTTCTTTATATCATATCTACTATGAATGTTACCTATATAATTCTTTGTTTTTAATTTTATATTCTACATAAACATAATCTTAACAACATAATTTTTCCTTTTCACCTTTATTTACATATTTTTCTTACGTTCTTCTGGAATTTTTTTTTTGTATTAGAATACAGTTTGACACATCTCCTTGTTGTCCCACCGGTCACAATGTGTGATTTGCATTAGACTGAAGGTTGTAAAGGGCCGGTCTCCTCCGCTCTCCAACACCATTGTCACAACGACAGGTTTGTCATTGTGCATCAAAACCTAAATATAAAATAGAAAACAAATATATATATATAAAAAGGAAATTAATAATAATTAGGAATCACGAAATCATAAAATCAACTTTAATCCTTTATTTAAAATTATAACATTATCAAATTAACTAAATTATAATAGTAAAAATCATAAAAAAATAAAATACAATAAAATATAATATAATTAAAAAAATTAATAAAATTTAAAAAAAAGATCATTTGTATCGTAAAAATTAGCCTTTTTATACTCTTTTCAATCTTCTTAATCTAAAATTTACAACAGTTATTATTGCATCATCAGCAATTAAATTATAATAGCCCAACAATTTATCATATGCTGCTTTAAAACCATTGTTAAAGGTAGGTGTTTAGGAAGTAGAATATAATAAGGTATAACAAACTTATAAGTATGATAATTTTCCCCACATACCATATTTGTAGTTTTATATAAAGGTAATAGGTTTAATTTTTCTAAGATCTCCCATTGCTACTATATGTTAACAAAATATATTATTCCCTAATTATAAATTTTAATTTATCTCTGATATTTGTTTTTCTTGAAGAATTTTAATTTTATTACTTCATTGACTAATTTTGTTATAGCCGGCTTTAAAATAAGCATCTTTCAATCATTTGGCAGGTGCTATTTGGTTTGAAAAAATTTAAGGAAAGGTGTAGTGACCAACATATATTTTTTAATAAATTTAGCTTTTTGAAAGAATTACGAATCATTCTAATTTCTCAGTTTTAAAATAGAAGGATCTAAAATTTCTTTGGAAAGCAAATTAATTACATGGGTAAAGCATCAGATATGCCCTATTTTTATTGATGGATATTAAGAAAATATATTAATAAAGATTTTATTATTAGTTTCATTAACTAAAGTTATAGTGAAATTTTTAATTCGGAGATAAAAATTTTAACAAAGGCTTTAAATATATTTTCACCTGAATGTGCTTCATTATTGGAACAACATCCAAAATTATGTTATTTACTTTAAAATTCTTATTAATGGGATGTTAGCCCTAAAAAAAGAACCCGTGTTGGGCTAGTCCAGATGTCAGATGAAAAATTAATCGGACTTGTTTTTGGATATTATTTCCTTTACCAACTATTCTTTTTCTGCAAATATATTATACATATGCAATTTAAGAGTATTGGACTTAAAATCTTTTGATTTATCAGTTTTAAAAGGTATATTATTATTTATAAATGATTATCATGTTTTCTTTAAAATTAATTTTTTTTAGATAAAGGAATCGGTGATGTATGCTTTAAAAATATCAATTTTATTACACTTTTACGGAGGTGTGAATGGAACTTATTATAATTACTAATAAGAGGGGATGTTGTTTTGCCTTTACATTTTATAATGCTCTTGCAATGTTTGCAAGCAGCCCTTTCACCGTCTTTATTGATTTGATAACAGCAAACATAACTATTTCATCAGAAGCATTCTCCTCCATCATAAATAGGCTAACAAACAATAATTTATTGTAGAAATGTATTGTATTTTTGTATACCTTTGGTTTATGTAATTTTTTAATATTATTTATTTGAGATTCAAAAAACAAACTTCGTGAGATTCAAAAAATATGGTAATAAAAATTTTAAAATTGCTTCAATTTTCATTTCAGAGATTTTTAATTTGTGCTAGTTTTTTTATAGTCACATCGGCAGGTTATCAAATAGTAATGACAAATGTTCGATTTATTCAATATTCTGAATAATTCGTTTAATGAAATAAATGATCATTCGTATTCAGATAAAACATATAATTTATTATTCGTGGGAGTGTTGGCTATTACATACTTATCATTATATTGATTTTCAACGTCATTATTATAAAGATAGAAATTACAGTGAACTTGAAATCGGGTTCTTCATTTGAAGCTTCATTTTCTTCTCTTATTTCATTATTATCTATAAAAAGATTTAATTTATAGATATAATAGCAGAATAAAATAAATACTTAAAAGACTTATTACGTTTTGCCTGTTATTGTCTTTATATTTTAATAAAAATTTAAAAACTTTTTTAAATATTTTCCTATCAAATGCATGCCTTTTTTTAATTCATGCAAAAAAAAATATTGAGAAAATTAGATATGTTATTT